GCACCCCCAGGAGGCCCCCAGGTAAGGCTGCTGGGGCCAGCCCAATGCTGGCCCCAGCCTCCCCTACCACCCCCAGGGTAACTTGTTGTGCACCAAAGCATCCATGTCATGGGTGTCCCCAGGGAACCAAACATCTACACTCATCTAGATGCACTCTTTCAGGTCAGGGAACATCCTATTCAAATGCCCAACCATGTTTGAATTCTTTCTTATCCATTTTCTTCACAGTGTAAATCACGAATCCTTTGCTGTCTTAGCAGTTTTTCATAAAAGCATGAGTAATGAAAATATGCCCCAAGATGTTCAGGAGCCCAGAATTTTGTTCAACCAGAAAAAGACAGCATACATTTTGTATATAGGTAAACAAAGAGGCAGAAATGTATCCACATACTTGACTTCCTGGACCTAATAGTTGTCTTTTGATCAAAGCTTGGTTGTGTCTGTATAAAAGAACTCTGCAGACCTGGAACATTGTAAAAGAAGATACATATATTACAATGGTTAGAGTCAAAAAGAAAAAGGAAATCAATGTTTTAAGGTAGTCTCATCCCCTCCTTAACTAGTTCTAGCTAGCTGCCTGCCTTCTAACACCATCACATAGATAGTAGTTTATAATGCAAAAATGTAACTGTTCATAGAAAAATATTGTATCTTACACTCATATAATTTCTAACAACATGCCAAAAATACTATTGCAGGAAATGACAGCATAAATGCCTTCCATTTTCCCAGCAGAAAGCCATGAAGGTGCACACAGTGCAGTTACTGGTCTGAATAGTTCGTGCATACCATCACTACATGCTTACACACATCTTACATAATCCTTGTAAAAGCACATATGTAAATGGATCCTCAAGAGTCAAAGTTGCTTGTAATCGCAGCAAAGGACAAAAAATCTGTTACAACTACAGATAGGCAGAAGCAGTTGATAGTGTAAAAGGTAAGTATGTATGTAGAGTCTGAGCAAGAAAGATGAATGGATAATGAGAGTGCAGCTCAGAAAACCAGGAGAAAGAAGTAAAGAATTAAGGCTGAGGACAGGTTTGACGAGAAAGGCTCAGTTGCATATATACAGGCATGTAGCACGAAGCTATCGTATTGTTTTCATTGATGGATGCTTACATTATTAGAAATTCAGCACAAACACTAAAATCACAGGAGCTGGTACTGCAGTAAGCAGAGATAACATTAACAAATACTGACCAATGTTGGAACATTATGTCTATAAATTAGTCTTCAAATTGCTAACAAAGGACAGCCTAGCATTTGGGGCAGACAGAGAAGTAGTTTTTCTCCTGAAGTCTCATTTTCCATTCCCTGCCTTTATTCCTTTGTTAGCATTGGATTGAGGGCCCTGACTCTCAAAGTGAGAGGAGGTAGGGGAGAAGCCCAAGGGCAAATTTGCCTAGAGGATCAATCCAGACTTATAATACATCTTAATACAATTTAACAACCCATTTAAAGAAAATAAATCGTTTAGCTGGTTTTCCAGTTCCAGGTACAGACCTTTGGATTTGGTTCAGGGCATATTAATAGGCTAGCAGCCACTCCAAATCCATTGAAGCTTGTAAGTAAATTATTTACTATAAGCAAATTATATTTTAATGATTTCAGAGCACATTTCTATTTGGGAATGAGCGTGCAGTTACCACCAGCATGGAGCCGATGCCGGAGCTGTGAAGCCCAGTGCAGCTGTTTGCAGCCTGCCCACTGCTTGCTTGCTGCAGCTGCCCAGAGCCCAGGCTAGCTACAAACAGCTGCGCTGGGCTCCGGAGCCCAGTCACCAGCTCTGTGCTGGGAGCAGGGGAGAGACCCAGGTTGCGCTGCCCCAGGCCCCACTGCCCGCTATGAGGCGCATGTGCACATGTCAGTACAGAACAGATGCCGGGGCTCCGGAGCCTGATACAGCTGTTTGCAGCCTCCCGGCTGCAGCCAGCCCCAGCTCTGGGTAGCTGCTGCCAGCCGTGAGCCCGGGCTGCTCCCAGCAGGAAGCTGGGACGCTGCAAGCCCTGCTGGCAGCAGCCCAAGCTCCAGCAGCTACCCAGAGTTAAGGTAGCTGCTGATAGCCACAGAGCCTGGGTTGGGGGGCACAGGGCACAAGCAGGGCATCCTGCCTTGTACCCCCTGCCCTCATTTTGCTTTTGTGGCATGTCGGCACTCTAGCACCTTCCAAGGTAGGCACTGTGGTGTTTTTTTGGCACTCCGCCCAAAAAAACACTGCCTACCCCTGCTCTACAGTAATACCAGGGCAATAGCTCATTTAGATAAGAATTATGCTTGTAGTTAATAAGAGCATTGTATTTCTATGCTGTTGAAATAAACAGCTATAACTTTCTTTCCTGGCTCTTTATCTATTGAACTAATGTATTTCCATGAACTTACTGCATGATAATAGCAAAGGAAGCTCAGAATTAAAACATAATGAAGTGACACAACCATTCAATTTCATTTTTACTTCCTTAAAATTTTGTGCTGTGATCCAAGCCATTTATTACTCCAAAAACAGTAAAGATACTGGGTTTCTTACTGTATATGAACCTAGAATAATTTTCTATTTAAGAGGTCAAGAAAAATCTCAAGTTCTGAAACATTATGGAATACAGTTCTATTCTCAGGTGGCACCATACTTTCTTGAAAGGATTTATAGAGGTGCAACGATACATTGGTCCATATCATATCAGCACCAATAAAAGGAATATTTACATTATTGGCAATTAGCTTTTTTTAGCTGATGTGGCCAATAACGTTGCCGATAAATGCCACGTACATGCAAGCAGTCGCAGCATGCATACAGCGTCCAGCTGGCAAGTCTGATAGGGGAAAAGGGCATGGGGGAGCAGATCGAGGCCCTCACGGTGAAGGAGGAAGTGGGACAGGGGCAGGCACTGCCCAACTGGGGCAGGACAGGATGGGGTGCAGGACAGAGCCACAAGTAGCTCATCCGTGGGATGCAGGGGGGCATCTCCCACCACTTGGCACACCCCCAGGGAAGGCATGTGGGGGCATCTGCCCCCCGGATCTGCATGCAGGGTGAGGGAAGGCTGCCGCTGTGGGCTGGGGGCAATGCTGGGCTCTTCCTAGCACAGGGGTTGAGCCGGGGCTGCGCTCAGGGTAGGTGGCAACAGCAGCGCTAGGAGGGGGGCTACAGGAATTTTGCAGCCACCCCAAAATTCACCGGAGCTCCCCGGAGCCTCCCTCCCAGCACTAGCGCCACCTGTCCCAACCCAACCCAACCCCTGCACTGGGAAGAGCCTGCAACCAGCCTTTGCCTGCAACAGCAGCCTGCCCTCACTGCACGCATAGATCTGGGGGGCACATGCTCCTCCCATGCTTCCCCCAGCCCCACCCCCAGACAAGCTGCTCACAGCTCCATCCCACATCTCGCCCACCTGTGCAACGCCTGCCCTTGCCCCAGCCCCCCTGCTCCCTCACTGTGGGGGTTTGGATCAGCCCCCACCCATGCCCCTTCCTTCCCCCCACAAGGAACTTACCAGCCAGAAACTGTTCTCCAAGCTGCGGGCTGCATATTGGCAATCGGATGGATATTAGCCAATATGGCTCGTTAATAATCAGACATCGGTATCGGCTCAAAAAATTCTTTATCAGTGCACCCCTAGGGATACATCCTCTGCATCTATGCTATAGTCTAAATAAGCTGCTGGGTTCTGACAGTTAATGCACATTTCCTAACTTTAAAGCTGCACTTTTTGCAAAATCTTTGGGAAGTATTCTCTCAAAGCTGCTTATCCAATGATTTGCATATTACCATCCCTGAATATATACGTTCCTCTCCACATACAGTGACAGAGAGATGCCGCCAAGAGAACGAGAATTCTCCTCCGTACTTCATTTTTAGGCTCTCACCACTCAGTTCTACAAGCCTGTAAAAATCTACTATAGGCAAGTTTCAAAGTAGGCTTTGTTTAATTTGTATTTTTAGATTCTGATATCCTAAACTGAATGTTTCCAGAACTTGCTTCCATTTTAAGGCCTGCACTAAAGGGAGAAGCTATGACAGTTGTTAGGCAGCTTCAGATGTTTAAAAGAAATTTCACCTCTAACCCAGAGCTTCAAGGACTCAGCATAGGGAAGAAAGACCACAGCATATGGAGCTGTAGTCAAATAGGCAAGCAAGAATTTACTTCACCCAAAAAAAATGCCATTGCCATCTTAAGGACCTGGGAAGGAAGTACACTAAAACATGTAATGCAGTTTCTGGTATGTCAGTCTTGATCTGAGCCACTGGCATTGACATAAGCTCCCCATGGCCTTAATACTTCCTTATTCTGGGTCAGCTAGTCAACCCCTAAGCCATTTATAAAAAGAAAGATGAGCCAAAAGGAGTGGAGATGCTGCTACAGAAATGCCAGTTTCTGCAACACTCAAAACTCCAGAGTTAAGTAGGTACCCATTAGAATAGGCAATTGCTGCAAAGATTGTGGAGACCCGTTCTACCATTAGTACCTGGCCTCCAGGTCCTTTCCTGCCTTCCCAGCTTTTGTACTAGGAAGCAGAGGAGACTAAATCATATGCATGAACACGTATACACACCACACACAAACACAAGCCAATAGAAAAGAAAAGCAACACTCTTCTCTTACACATGAGTAAACATAAGATACTTGCTTATTAACTTACTTTGTGATATCTGTGGTTGGCTTTTCCAGTGTTCCTCAGCTATGGTGTTGCTTTCTGAAACAGACCATACAAAGAAGAGAATTAGAGAGCTATAATATTGGATCAGACTCTCTAAGGTAAGAAGAATAAGCTATATAAGCTGTCAGATCCAAAACACCAGCTGTGAAGGTGTTACATTTGTAAGGCCTGCCACTATCCTCCAGTAACAGGCACTCTTGCTATAAAGAGAAAAGCATCTGGTATAGAAACCATTAAGCCATGACCTTCTCAGCATCAAGATTTCCCAATGGTAGAAATACTCTGTCATTGGGGTTCTAAATGGAGGACAAAAGTTATTAGTTATTTAGTCCTCACAAAAAGTATCATCAGAATCAGTAATTTAAAAAAAAAAAAATCAAAATAATTTCTTTAGCAACAAGGTCAGCAAAACAGCAGGACAGATTTTCACCTAATTCTCTCTATCACGCATTTGAACATGGGTAGTCTTCAGCATACTCATTGTACAGGCAGCATTTCTTTTTTATGTACGTCCCTAACCCTGAAGTAAAGCCAGCCCGGCTCAAATTTTCATACACTTCTCCTAACTCACCAGCTCAGCTCTAGGTTATATCAGGTTGGTATACCTCCCACCTGCCATGGCCTCTCCCTTAGTTATACAGCAAGCTCATTTGGATCATTACTGACTCAGACTGGATTCAAACCAGTAAACAGCCCCACAGTCCTTTACTAGACCTCCTAAATCATCCAGTCCCCAGTGTATCTATCTAGGATGGTCAAATCCCTTAATAACTGATCAAGTGATGGAAGAAATGTTACTATTACTTCATAGCACTTGGTATCCAGTCAAACTGCCTTTTTGAAGGGAATGGAAACTGCAACTGTTCAATGAATCTAAAAAATGAAGCCAGGCCCCTACTCATAGGCATATTTGCAGGAAATGTTAAGCATTTTAAAGTTTTACAAGATGGAGGCCTATGTATAAATTTAGGCTTATAATTTTCAACTTTTGGGCCAGAAGAGAATATGATTGTAAAACCATAAAACTGACAAGGGGCTTAAAGGCAGGTTTACTGCCTGAAATAACATTTGTCTGAATACAAGACAACTCTAAGTATAAAACAGTCCCCCAATAATAACATTCTATATATGGAAAATTTATAAATTTATTATAATTTTCCAGATATAGAATCTAATTATTGGAGGTTTGCCTTGAAAAATATCCCTCTCCTAATGCTAGAACAGTAAAAAATAAAAATAAATTGGGGAGCCAGGTAGCCCCTTTGCCCATAACAGAGGGGAACTAGAGGGACTTGGGAGAAGTTGGGCCTTCAAATAAGAGAGAAAAATCAGAGTGCTAGGGATCGCAACAGATGCCGAAGGAAAAGGTAACAGCATGGGAAAAGGTGATCGCAAGGCTATGGTAAATACTTGGGTTATAGTCTGGAAGGAACTGTCCTTTGCCAGAAAAGAAGCAGTGTTTAAGGCTATGCTACTGCTGATTATTCTATATCTGGGAATTGTATTCCCGCTGATGAGGTGGCAGAGGGAAATGTGTCTGTTCTTCTGGAATGCCAAAAGAGAAAAAAAAACTGGCTAGAGCTAAACTGTACAAAGCATGAGAGCAAGTGCAATATGCAAGGCAATAATGGTGGGAGACGGGAAAGCAGCATGCATCACCCAAGCCCACGCACCTGAAATTTTGAGGAAATGGGGATTATATCAGACCTCTTTGAAGAGTCTATGGGCATAGCAACCACCATTTCATTGTATCTGAATGGAAGGATTCATGCAGAGGTATAAAATAGGGAAGGTAAGGCTGGAGGTCCTGAAGGATCATAAGAAATTGGTAAAAGTGGTAAGGGAGACAGACAGGATGATGCCGGTGGGAAACTTCAAAAAAGGACAAGTGAAAAAGGTGTGGGGAGCTGTGCTGTGTAAACAAAGAAAAAGGTGAACATGCTGACCTAACCTAACATGGATGGTTATAATATCTTGACAGTGAGAGAAGCGCAACACAGATAGGGCTTGACAAGCTCATTAAAGGTGCCCAAGGGAGAGATGTGGGGAAGAAGAAACAGTGGGACGTGGGAGTTTGTTTTGGAAGTGTACATATGAAGAGGGGATGTAGAAAAGGGTTCACTGCTTTCTGACTGTCACCAAAATAACCTGTCATTAGCGCATGAGGTGGTACCATATGGACTCATACCAAAGGGACCGGAGGAAATGCTATTAACGTGTTAACTAGTTTATAAAAAGTAAGAAACCTCTGGGTGTTTAAAGAGTTGGCTTTCACTGAAAGAGTGCCCGAAACTGAGGCTGCATGAATTTAAATATTACATCACTCAGGACAAAGAAGAGATTGGAGAGGAAGCAGCAGAGAAGCAGTGGAGGAAAAAGGACTGGACACACTTGTTTCACTAAACCAACAGAAAGGACTGATGGGAGGGGCAGAGTGTGTTTCAGGTAACAGTTTTTCATGGGGTTCTGTATGAAGAAAAAAAAAATGTCTGTGTTTGTTTTTTGTGGGAAGTTGATGCCTGTTGTTTACGGTTTTAATAGTTCTATGTTTTTGATATATAGTTGTTTCTATGAAGTCTTGGTAAAACAAGGTTGCTCAATATATGTAGCTTCACAACTGTAGGGTGCTAGGTTTGTTTTTAATAACCTTATAAAAGAAGGTTCCCATCAGCATCTCAGGCTTTTGGCTAAGATCAAATGTAATCGGGGACCAAAGGGAAGGGGGGTGGGGGGGGTCACAGCTGGCTCTGGCCCTCCTGGTACCAGCCTGGTATTGCAGTACCTCCAGGCCTGGTGCCAGTTCCCTGTGGAGGGAACACCCACCCTTTTTTTAAGGGTCAATAAATAAATAAATAAATAAATAAATAAAAGTTATTTTACAAGGCAATAGGTTTTGTGAATGGAGGGTAGGGTATCACTGGATGCAATAGTTCTTCATTTTAGCAAGGCTTTCACTCTTCCACAACATTCTCTTAAGCAAACTAAAGAAACATGGTCCAGAACAGGAGCTGGCAGCTAATGGCATGTAGGCCATTTCCATCCTGGTTTGGTGGGCTGTTGGCAGCAATTTGGCCACAGTGGAGGGGGAGGGGGTTAGAGCAGGCTTACTGCCTGAAATAACATATTTGTCACAGTGGAGGGGGAGGGGGTTGAACCATGAACCTCAAAAAGATGAGATGAGAACACCAATGGTGACGACTGGGTCACAAATGGCGGCCTTCAGCCTGAGCTGCATTACTTTGGCCCACTACAGATGGTTTTGGACCCCTGGCCTAGAGGAAACTACCATAACTAGTTGGACAATTGTGTTCAAAGAACAGTCATCAACAGCTCAACGCCAAACTGGGAGGAAGCAACAGTGAGGTTCTCAGGGGTGTGCACTAGGTCCAGTACTGGACCAGTACTCCGGTTAATAATTTGGAGGATGGAACTGATAGTACACTTAGCAAATATGCAGATAATACCAAACTGGATAGAGTTGCAGACACTTTGGACGAGTCAACCATCTAATAATATTGGATTAGTCTAGAGATGAGAAAGGGGAAATGTAATAACAGGCCTTCAAATACAAAGAATACAAAGGATTGCAATAAATTATTTTCTGTGTGTACAGAGGATGGAACAAGAAGTAACAGGTTTAAACTGAGACAAGGGAATTTAAATTGGATATTATGAAAAACTTTCTGACTGTGAGGATGGTTAAGCACTTGAAGAGATCGCTTAGGGAAGATGTTAAATCTCTGTCACTATGTTTTTAAGTGCCGATTAGACACGTGTCTGTGATGGTTTAAACTGGATAAACTTGTCTTGAGCAAGAAGTTGGACTAAGCCAGGGTTTGCCAACCTGCAACGCACACTCCACAAGTGACACAGGCAGCCTCTGTACGGCATGTGGCAAGTCAGAGGGGGCAAGTAGCACAGCAGCAGATTGGATAGAGGAAGGGGATCGAAGTGGCACTTGAGGAGGGTGTGGGGCTTAATGTTTAATACATTTGCCCAAGAAGGTTGCCCCACAATGGACTAGATCTCCTAAGGTCCTTGACCTATTTTAATATGATTGTATATTTATCATGCCCTAGCCCAAAGTTTAAAAAAATATAATTAACTATCAACCACTAGAAATGAGTCTTGTATGGAAGAAAAGGCACCAGAAAAATATATTGTTATTACCTTTCAACAGTGAATGTGTGTTAGTCTTTGGACACTCAGCATTATAGCCATCAATGTCAACGTCGTCTTCTGCTTCCTCCTCTGCAACTCCCTCCAGCGAATCTTCTGTGAAAACAATGCGTTATGTAAAGACGAAGAAATGTCTGTCACAGAGCTCATTATTTTATTTACACAGCTATCAGTGCGCTTGTCATTACAGAATTAATAATATGGGTTCCTGACCCAAGATCGTTATGGCCTAAACTAACCATGGGACACAAGGGGACAAGGGTTACAAAAGTAAAAAGCTTGTAGATAAAGATTCACTAGAGTATTTGTCTTTGGGCAAGATATGTGACTATTTGAATATTGCATTTCTCCTTAGTTAACTGCCAGAAGCAGCAAAGTTCAGCAGTAAGGGTGCAGCCAAGTTCAATGCTGGAATGTCAATCTAGAGGAGCAAGCCAAAAGAAGTGGTCTGAAAGAGCCACGTACCACTACGTGGAGCAGACTGAGGTAGAGATATTCCTAATGTGCAGTGAGGGGGCTAGCATGATAAATACAGAGCAAGTTACAAGAGGAAGTCACGGGGTGAGCAGGCACATTTTATACCATGCTCAGTAACCTCAAACAGAAGAGGGAAGTGTCAAATAGAACAGAATGGCAGAGCTTATCTACCAGCCTTCTCACCATCCTTTCAAAGAATTTCAGTCAATTTTGCAGCCGTTGCCATCTAGAAGAGTTCTTTTGCATTACTTCTTTCCATTGTAGAACTTAAATGAACATCTGAGTTCCTTCTCATCTGCCAGCTTATTCACTCCCAACCCCCATTTGTATTAAACTATAAGCTATATTAGTTAACTTTAAAAATCTTGTGAGTTTAAAAAGAAGCTGGATGACTATTTCCCAATTATCTGTAAGAAAATGACTAATAATTAGTTATTAGTTTACAGCCCCATCAATTTAAACATCTAGAATTAACAGCCACTGTATCAGTTAGTCCTATCAAAACTTTAATAAAAAGTGACTGATCAGCCTTTTGTATTTCATCTACCCACTTTAAAACATTAGGTTGTGCATTTGGCCTATGATACCTTCCAGAAAAATGCCATGAGAAAAGCACTTTTAAAAACTGAATAGTCTAGGAGGAAGTTAAAATAAACTGCTCATGTATTCATGTTTTTTTAAACTGAATTTATGTGGCCTATTCTGTGCTATACTCACCATGTTCGGAGAAACTATAACAGTCAGTTTCACTTCTTGACTCTCCTGAAACAAGGCAACTGTGTTTGACTTTCACTGGGGAAATCTAGTAGCGCTGGGGAGTATTTCAATTAATAAAAGCAAGTGTTTTGTACTGATTTTTTAATCAAGTTTCATGAAGATACTACTGTGCACCGGGGACTTGTTTTCATATTTGAACTGGTAGCCAAAAAACCCCCAAAATAAAACACCACTATTAGGTATATTCATGCAGCCTCTCTTTGTGAGCATATTTATACAGTTAAAATGTGCTTATATAATTAAAATTATCTACATGAAGATGTATGCGAATTAAGTCCTGAGATATTTATGTTTTGAAGGGTGGGGAGAGAGGAGGGGAGTTGTACTTTTTGGGCCTTCCCTATCTGTTAATATTGTTCTAAAATTCTTACACATGAATTATTTTCTAAGAAATGTAAGTTCTCACAGCATACCTGTGTGTGCATCATGTGGCTCTTCTTGTTTTTCTTTGTAAAAAAAGGAAATAAAAAGAAAACATTTATCACAACTCGCACCAATGCTTAAAACAGATTTCTTGTTTTAAATACACTCGTTACAAGAACATGCCAAAACAACAGAAAATATGTGAAATTCTATGATATTAAAAGTTACAGCTACACAGAGTTGGCCTGATGGTTTGAATAATAAAAATCCAATTTACTTTTAGCAACTTTTAGGCATACAGCTTTTTTCACTTCCACAGCAATTACAAATAACCTGGCTGTAATCATCTGAGAAACACTGAAGTGTGGCAAGAAAGATTCCATATCACCAGCAACATGAATCAAAGCTTAAACATTTATAGGACTTTATAACACAGCTGATGGTGAAATCTACTTGGGCTCAGGTAGGATAGACTTATGAGGCCACAAGGGGATAAATTTGGGCAAACATAAATCTCTAAGAAAGACTATTTATATAAAGGCACAACATAGTAACAGCTCCCTCCATTTTTTAAATTTGGCATTATGCATTTTAAGAAACAACAAGAATGCCCTTTAAAGGTTCAAACAAAAGAAGTTATTTGCTACCTCAAGCTGCTATTCGTTAGTTAGTTATTGCTATATTCCTAATACAGAAGATAAGACAAGAAAGAAAGAGAAGATGCAGACATCTGCAAATTCATTTTCTTTGTGGAAGAAAATATGGATTTAACTACCATCTCATTTCACCAAGTAGCAACACAATCTGCCTGAGAGTGAAAAAAAAAACCCATCAGTGTGAGCAGGTTTCATGCTCCCCCAGAAGGGGCAACATTTTGCTTTTCCGGGAATAGGATATTACTTTGTTAAAAAAGGAAGCAAATTCCAGCCCAAGCTGTTTCTATATGCTTGGCTATTCCTAACAATACCTCATCTACCCCAGACTCCAGAACCTACTGTATAGAACCACTCCTACCTGTGTTAGAACCATCAGATATTTATAGAACAATTCTACTGTAGAGCAAAATTGTTCTTTGACCAAGAAAATACACTTTAAAAGTAACATGCAAATCAATTCTCTTACAGCATCAAACTCCATGAAGAAATGAGAGTGACAGCACAAAGCACAGCATACAATAGCAAATGCAATTAAGTGTGATATTCTGTAACCCTGAGGCATGAAGCCAAATGACAACCAATGTGGTATCAAACCCATGCCTTCAGTTCAAAATCATTGTCCACTAAAAACAGAAACTTAAAAAAAAAAAGAGCATTGATGTTTGATTCTTAACATTTTCTTGCTCACACATTTTGAATACTAGTTTAAATATAGCCAACACCTTAACTTAGGTGTATATCAACACCTAAATATATCAAGTATATAAGTATATTAAATATATCAACACCTTGATATATGCATTCTTAAGATTTTGCCAGCACTCTCAGCTTTAATCAGATTTCTAGAATCTTCTTCCTGCAGCCTGTGCAATGTTTGCGGTTAAGCAGAAACCAAGCTCAGCTTGAGAAACTGGGTGGGTTTTTTTGAGTTTCGATTTTGTTCACAGGGGAATCTTAAACACAGCTCTGGAAATAGGCATCCTCTCATAAGAGCCACGCCCCCTCCCCCCAAGCTTGCAGAGAGGCCCATTTCTTTCCGTATTTTGTAAGAAACGATACAAAGAGTAATTCCACTAACATCATCAACAGTATCCACTTGGAACAGCCAACCTCTTGGCATTCTTCACACAGCAGCCAAAGTCCAGCCAGCAACAACATTTTGTTCTCAAGGCCTGACACTACCGCAGTAACAAACGAGATTCAGTAGTAAGCAAACTAGAATGCATTAAACTTAAACCAACCTGATTCACACATTTTGGAATCTCTGTTTTCACTGAAGAGAGCATATTCTGTAAGGCAAGGAACACTAACACGATTAATACAGCTGGAAAAAAAGGAAGGAAATTAAGTGGTTACATTCACATGTGTAGTTCTCTCTACTGCAGCGACCAATACATTTCTCAGGACAAAAGCTATGACTCCACAACCACGTATACATTACAGACATAGCTTCCTGTCTAACTCTCCAACAAAGGGTAGTTTTGCAATATGTCTTTTTAGAAAGAAACAAGGGATGTGGCAAATGAAGTAAAAACACTAACACATCACATTCAGTATCATGCAGCTAGTACAAGTCTATGCTTCATGATGCAGAGAAGGCAGTCCTATCACATAAAAAGTAACTGTATACAATGAATAGAGTGGAAGGGGTCTTTTCACAAGCTCCACAGGTGATTCAGTTCATGCCAGGTAAGTGGGTTTCCTACTTCATTTTTCCTAGTTTGTTTAGATAGATATTGTCATCATATTTAGTCACCGTACCTTTTCTCTAAAACCAAGAAACACAAGCAGATTCACTCGCAACCCTTCTTTCATACCTTCAGCCAAGTACTGCTACAATCTCATGCACTTGATAGAACATATGCACTTCTACAGACCCCTTTATTTGTTAATTTCAGAGTGCTACGTACCAGTAGCACCCCTCATCAAACTTAAGACACTCCTTTTAAGACCCAAGACACCCCTCTAAAAATGCCATCTCTTAGTTTTCACAAAAAAAAAACAACTCAGCTTGCAACAGGTCAGAAGGTTTGTAAATCCATGTATTCCTATTGAAATCTATGAGTTTATCTTGAGAACCTTCTTTGCACACTTAACAGTGCTAACACTGCATGACACTCCCAACAGCATCCTTGCTGGGAGAATCAATCAATCAATCTTCACAAATCCTTACAAGATACCCCCTCACTGTTCCCCTTTTGAAAGGTAAACATATGAGGTGCAAGATTAAGTGCCCAACATTATACAACAAATCAATGGTAAAACTGGAAAGGGAACCAAGGCCATCCCCCAGTTCCTACTCCCTGCTTTCACCACTGATCTATACTCCCTAGAAATCTGTTTCAATAGTATTAGACTACAAGGAGTGAAAAGCTCCTCCATTGGGTGTAGAAATCACTACTTACCTTCCCTTTGAAAACTTCTTATGCTGGGTCGAGTCAATTTGACAAAGGGATATTCACTCCCTAAAACAAAGAATATGTTAAATGCATAACAAGCTCAAGCACCATGCCATCATTTCTTTCTCCCAACCACTTCAGCCCTCCATTCCATTTCATTCCTTCAAAAATACTATTAAACTACTCCCTCCCCCACTACAGGCACACCAGACCCTCAAGCAGTTTGTTCATATGCTTGAGATTTGTGGGACGGGGAAGACAAAGTGAATGGTATATCTAGGGCAAAGGAGCAAGGTACCAGCAGAAGCCAAGAGGAAGGGGAGTGGGAATAGAATAGGCTGCGTATAAAAAAAGGCAAGCAGGTATGGTGGACAGGAGCACAGGCATCTATAACTACTATGACACAATCGAATCTAGACCCTGAAAATGATCCCAGGATCCCCAGGTCCCAAAGTTTCCCAGCTTTCTGGGAAGTAAGTTTGAATGCCATTGGCAAAGCATCCCTCATCCCTCTGTAATGGATATTCCACAAAGAGGATGCCCATTAATTCAAGTGCTAGAGGTCTGTATTGTGGATGTAGAAGTCAAAATAAGCCTTTGCCTAAAGTAAAAAAAAGCAAACAGGCAGGATTCAATCCTGAATGAGCAATACGATCCAAGAAAAACTCCAAATCCTATCCTTTTGTTCACCACGTGAGAGTGACTTCTGTGAATGCGCCATGTTTAATGATACACCAAATTTGCCCCCCCATCTCAATCCTAAAGCATCAGCGATCATAATCTGTGGATTGTCAATTTCCTTTTACATCATTAGTGGATTAAGAAATTAATTTCCTCACACCCAAACCCCTTGCAAAATCCCCAATCTTGTAAAAGAGGGCAAGAATAATAATAATTAAAAAAAAGACAAACCCCAGGGTAACTCCACTCTACTAAGCACAGATGAAACTATCCTAACCATCACGGAATAACTAAACTTCAGGGGACTGTGAAACCAGAGGTCTTGCTACATAGAAGCTTGGAGGAAGGCAATTTCTTTGCAGAAGGTAGTAAGTAGCAGAACGCTCTTGGCTAAAGGTGCATGATACGTCAGTCCAATATCGGATCAGCACCGATATAAAGAAAACGGACTGTATCAGAAACCGGCCTGATGTGCCTGATACTGTGGCAGATAAATGTAGGCAAGGAGAAGAGCTGTGTGCAGCTGATAAGTCTGTTGTGGTGGAAGGGGGAGGAGGGAAGGGGCGGGGGACAGATCAGTTGTGGCGCACCAGCTCCATGGCTGACAAGAAGAGAGCAAGGGGATGATTCCCTTCATACCTGCCCGCTGCCGACCACCCACCCCCAATGGCTGGGAAACCATTTGCAGCTCGGCCAAGCCCCAATTTGCACCTCTAGAGATGCAGTACCTGCTCTGCCACCTTGCTGGGTGGCCTAGCACCTAACCCAGTTGGGAACACCCTGGGGGGTGGGGGGAGCTACCCTAGTTCAGGAGACTCCAGTCCCCAAAACCTCCCTAGAAATTTTTAGCAGCAACCCCACAGGAAGCTCCGTGCACCTTCGGGCACCAGGCAGGGGGCCTCTCCCGCAGCCTTCCCTACCACCCCGCCGGCGGGCCACGAGCTGCCGCCCCGCCCTCCGCGAAGGGCCGCCTCCCGGGGGGGCAAAGCCGCAGCCGTGGGGGCGGCAGCAGGGCAGGTGCTGTCATCACAATGGCTCCCGCGGCTCGAGGCGGGCGGCGCCTCGGGCATTTCCCTGCTAGCGGAGGGGCTTGTGCCGCCGCACCGGGGAAGGGAAGGGAAGGGGGCCTCCCTGCACAAGCGGGAAGGGCAGCCACAGCCACCTGCCCCGGGCACGGGGCTGAGCGTAGCCGCAGCGAGGGGCCGGACCAGCCCCCACCC